TCACTTTCCCACCGCAACCAGCTGGCCCAGCTCAGAGCATGCTGCCATCTGCTGGGAAGAAGGAAGAAGTAACACCAAAGCGTTCCTTAACCATCATGAGGAGCAGCCTGGAAAAAGGGAAGTGTAGGGACCCACCTTCCCCTCAGCTATGGCTCTCTCATCCCTTATGACAGGCAGGGCCCTCACCATTGGCCAACAATTTGTCAGAAAACTTATAGTTCAATCAGTTTTTCTTTCTAAAAGTAAGTGATAGGATATTACTGTATTCAGCCTTAAAAATGAAGGAAATTCCGACACAGGCTGCAACATGGATGAGCCTTGAGGACATTCTGCTCAGTGAAATAAGCCAGTCACATAAAAGACAAATACTATATGAATCCACTTATATGAGGTACCTAGAGTAGTCAAATTCACAGAGACAGAAAGTAGAATGGTGGTTGCCAGGGGCTGGGGGAGGGGAAATGGAGAGTTAGTGTTTAATGGTTTTGCAGGATGAAAAGTTCTGCAGATTGGTTACACAACAGTGTGAATGTGCTTAACACTAATGAACTGTACACTTAAAAATGGTTAAAGGGGTAAATGTTATCTTGTGTATATTTTACCACAATGAAAAAAACAACAGTAAGAGATAGGGATAATAAGGACTTGGTAGGTCCTTGACTTCATGTAATAGAACCACCCTAAATATTTGTTGAATGAAGATGGAAAGAAGTGATGCTGACTGATGGTCTCAGACACCAGGGTGAACATGAGAATGGACATCTTTCCTTCCCCAGGAAAGCCTTGCAAGCACCATAATTAGTCACAATTACCTTTTCCTTTTGGTAATAAATCAGTTATCAGTTCTCATCTCAAGACTAAAATGTTCCTCTTTTCATCCCATCTGACAATGGCATGGCACCAAGTTCAACCAGAGCCAGAACATTCTCCCTGGAAATTGTGTCTTCTTTTTTTTCCCCCTCCCCAAAGCCCCAGTACATAGTTGTACATTCTAGTTGTAAGTGCTTCTAGTTCTTCTATGTGAGCCGCTGCCACAGCATGGCAATCGACAGACGAGTGGTGTGGTTCCGCACCCGGGAACCGAACCCCAGGAGAACTGCGTCTTCTTGATCAGCACCGGCAGCCACAGCCATGTTTCTGTTGATTCCAGGGCTGCAACTTCCCCAGTCATAGAACTTCAGAACTGCGAGGGCTCGGAGCAGCCTCGTGAGATTTAAGAGGTTCATCTCCTACCTAGCAAGAAATATATAAATATATAAAACATTTTAAATAGTGACTTTCCAAAAGCCACAGAGCTGGTAAGCAGCAAAGCAAAGGCCTGACATTTCCCCGTTGGTCCCCCACCCCCAACCCCGTGCAACAGCAGGCAGAGTGTGGGGCAAGTTCCTCCCCTCAGCTTCTTGTCGACCAGGGCACTGCTCTGCGGGAGGAATGGTTCTTTTTGTGCTTAGTGACCCTCCAGGCCCATCAGCCATAGTTTTTGCTGGGATAGCAGGGCGGTTTGAGTCTGTTCACAGCAGGACTCCCAGCCCCGAGGCAGGTGTCAGAGCCTCCAGGGGAAGCAACGCAGAGTGCAAAGACAGCATGAGCCCCAAGGGCACCATCAGCTGGCTCTGCAACTGCCTGGATAGCTCCTGGAACCCCGAGGTTCAGCCTTCTGCCTCGGAGCAGCCCTGACTCACCCCAACTTCCCTGCCTGACCACTGAGTCTCACCCAGGGGCAAAGCCAGAGGGACACAGAGCCAAACCATATTTAAACATGGGGTGATGGTTGCAGGTAGAATTCACCACAAGGGGTTTTACTTTATTAAGACCCCAACCCCCAGGATTCCTGGGCTTGGAGTGCTTTCTGAACTTCCCCTGAAGGCCTTTAACACAGCAGAGTGGAGAGGGAAGCTTGTTTCTGGGTCAGAGCTGCTGGTAGCCGTGCGTAATAGCCCAGGTCTAGGGGAGGGAAAGGGAGATAGGCTGTGCAAGGGGCCAGGATAACTGAACCTGGAGCATTTACACCACACCCATCTACACCCACTTGGAAGTCTGAATAACCCGTTTCTCCCAGTTGCTTTAGATGTCTGGGAGTGAATCTGTTTCCAAGCAGCAAGAACAACTACTGATCCTCTCCCGAAGTCTTGCAAAGGACACCTCTTCGCCCTTGCTCACCAGCAGTGGGCGAGACAAGTCAGCAGCTTCCCCCTGAGTCAAAGTCTCCGGTTTCTGACTTTGGGGAGCCCTGAGGGGGACCTTGCAGTGGCCTAGAGGTCTGAGCAGCTTCATCCTGGCTCATCGCAGAAGCACAAGGTTCGCCAGGGGCTGCTGGCCCTTCTCTGAGGGCTCCAGAGCGCTCCTTTGTCTGGTGGGTTTAATAACTACCTTCCAGTTAGGCCAAATCTGACACACTGGGGGCTGGCTCCCTGAAACTTGAGCGAGTTTCTGTTCCACCATCATCATTCATTGTGCACTCCAAATTTCACTTGGACGGCACCTGCTGCCCAGCATGTAGAGCTGGGTGGCATAGGATGGGTGGGGGGCAAGAATTACATCCCTCCAGAGACAAATACAGGCAGTGGATCCTTCCCAGGGGCTGGGAGCTCGAGCGTGGGCCCGAACCCAAGTGTTTTACAGATCTTGTGCTTCATCCATTAACATATCACTGGGGAAAAGCATTTCAACCAGCATGACCACGGAACTATCATCCAAACTGGGACACATATGACAGCAAAAGGGGAGCCATTAATAATGTTGCTGAGGACCAACACAAACCAGGAACGGTCGGGGCATGATGATAGATCATCCATCCTATGAGGAAACAAACAAAACGTATAGGAGGAGAATCCAGTCATTCCCATTTCTCACTCTCTCTTATACGATTAGGAAACAAAAGCATAAACCTCTCCTCATCAGAGCAGGAAAAATCGTCAATTTCCAGTGGAGATACTGACACTAAATGGCCATAAAACTAGGTTCCTGTGTCTCCCTGACGCTATTCCCACTGGCACAGTCGGCTCTGTCCCTTGGGTCAGTGCTCAAATCAGAAGAAAATCCAGCTGATAGTCCTTGTTATGTGAGGACAGCCAGGACCTCAGGGCGGGAACGCAGATTTTTCAGTTAATTATTAAGAAGCCACTCCCGCGAGGTGCAGCAATGGGGGTGCATCGTCGTGTGTAGAGAACCGCGTGGGCGTGTGGAGTACAGGCAGTCAATACTGTAATTCCACATTTGGCCTGCAGAGGGCAACATCTCTCTAGCAATGACCACACCACAAGCCAGACTGCAGGAAACACATTTAATTGGCCAAGGAGTAAGGGTTTAAAAAAAAAAAAAAAAAAATCAGATCAATATATTTCCAGCAAGCAATTTCCACCCTTTCATATTTTCATATAGAGATGTTGCTCTTTTTCTATTTACAGTGCTGGGTACATAGTGAGTTTTTAACAAATACTTACAGATTGATTAACTGATTGAAGATAACCCCGCTTGCCTGGGGCATGGAAAGTACAAGGTGAAATAGGAGAAAAGGAATCAGGGATTGGTGAATGTGCATGGAAAAGCACGCTCCTTTCTGGTTAATAACTTGCCCAGGGGAAAAAAAAATGCATTTGAAAATTTCCAAAAGATCTTTCTCCATGAGCAAACCATTATTAATCTAATTCTTTAAAAACAAACAAAAAATAAAACAGTAATTGGTTTTATAAATCTTCCTCTTCACTGCAAAGTCCATCCTACATACATATTAAATGAGCTCCAGATTTATGCAGATTTCTACGTGAGCTTTTACATTTAGACTCATCCTTTTCAGATGCCTCCTCCCCTGTCCCCTCCTAGACTCCGCAGAGACTGGCTGAAGCCGGCAAAGTTCACCGCCCCCCCCCTCGAGAACGGATGGTGGAGATTAGTTTCACCAGGCAGCCGTTAGCCCAGAGCCGGGCAGATCCGCCTGGTGGCTAGCCCAGCGGTGGACATGCACTGCTTGAATCAGCAACACTCTTCCCACAGACCAGGATGCAGGCTCCCTGGGGCTTCTGTCCATCTCTGGGCTCCTCGCTCAGTTTTCCAAGCAGCAGAGAATCAGCACCTTTAATACCCCCAGTGTCCCTGAGCACCCCGATCGCAGGTAGACTCCTTTTCTGGGGAGACCTCAGGCAGCTTGGGAGGGAGAGCCTGGAGGGAGAAGAGCAGGGCCGACCGTCTGTCCACGGGTGAGGGACACACCCCCAGCCCTCAGCCCCCTGCAGGGTGGTGGTCTTCCACACAAGCTGCACATAGTGTTTCAGCTTCACCCGAGGACACAGAGCCACCAATGGCTACCGGCCTTGTCACGGTCCAGGCCCCCATCTTCCAGGTTCGTGATCATATTGCCTCCCTGGGTAAAGCTTCTGCAGGGAGAGGGGGCAGCAAGGCGATGGAAGCAGGGGCAGCTGAGAGGGAGATTTCTGTGATCCCATGGACCAGCAGGGCCCCCGTAGCCAGAGGGAGCTGCCTCCCTGCCCAACCAGGAGATCATGCAGGAGCCAGGGCCGCCTTCGTCCACTCCCTGACTTGCTACGCGTCCTCTAGGAGAGCCCTCAGCATCGCCGCTGGCCCCAGCTCCCAGCCAGGGCCCAGGACCCAGGGTCCTAGGTACTTATGCAGGAGAGATACAGTGGGGGTGGGGGGGTGGGGGGTTGTCACACCACCCTCATAGGGTGCTGAGGCTGCAGGTGGGTGAGCTCACCTGAGGAGGGGAGAGAGTGGGTGGTCCCACAGCCAGGGCCCAACCTCAGGAAAGGTGGTACCATGGCAAGTGTGGTGTGCCACGAGTCCAGAAGCTGCTGTGCTAGGTCCCTTTCTTCCCTACCCATGATGCGGTCCAAGTGAGGGGCCTTGGCTGAGGGATGTCTATGGGTCTCTGAAGGGTTAGGGACCCCAGGGGAGGCAAGTGTTGAGGTGGGGAGGGGAGGCCTTCACACACGAGGATGGGCAAGGTGTCAGAGTCACAGAGAGGCACAGTGGGCTCCCCAACCAGAAAAAGTCCCCACCTACATCCAGGACCCTTCCTCGCCTCACTGTGACAACCAGGCAGCACCCAGCTTGGGCCTGCATGGGCCCAGTGTAGACCCAAGGGTAGGGTCTGGGGTGGAGGTGAGGGGGGTGGTGCCCCTGTGCTTTGAGGGAGAGGCTGACCCCAAGGTGGAGCTCTGGCCCAGAAGAGAGTGGAGAGGAGCCAGGTAAGAGTCAGGCCTCCCCCTGCCGCAGCTTCCCCGCCCACACTGAGGAAAGACTTGGGAGGCAGGGTAGGAGAGCCCATCACTTCCCGCCCCGGGGAAGCGCTGAGGCTGGTCCAGGCTGGGTCGCCATGATATGGTAGATGGATTCCCGGAAGCGCTGGTCTCGGCTGAGCCGCTTGGCCACCTCCTTCAGCTCCTCCATGTTGTTGGCTTCCAGCTGGGAGGTCATGAAGGACTGAGACGGCTTCACTGGGGAGACAGTGGCCCCACTGGCCCATGAACAGCCCTCCCTCCACTAAGGCTTGACCCTGTCCCCAACTCCAGCCCACCTCCCTCGCTCCCCATCCTCCCCATTGCTGAGCTTCTCCCAGCCCCTTCCCATCCATGGGCTCCCATAATCCTGGGAGAAGCCCAAGGCTGGTGGAGCCAGGTTCAAGGCCACACTGTGGGCCTCAGAGCTGCGCCAGCCCTTGCCACTCCCTACCCTGCCCTCTTCCTGCCTTGTCACCAATGGCCTGTGACCACCCCCACCCACCAGGGCACCCAGACAGCCACTCACTGTCATTCCAGGAGGTGCTGGACCGGCGCCGGTGGAAGCGGCAGCTCTTGATGCGGCGAGTGGCCGCCTTCTGGATGTACACGGAGTTCTTCATGATGACCGGCATCTTGGCCTCCAGCTCCGCGTTCCGGATGCACTCCTCAAAGAACCCTGCGGACGAAGTTCGACTGATCCTTCCCTCCCACCCCGCCTGCCCGCCCCTCCCAAGGACCCTGGTGGGGATGAGTGGGAAAGAGGTGACCCCTTCCCTTGGGACACGAGAGCCACCTGCTAAAGGGGGCAGAACTGCAGGCCTTCCCCCCACACCCCCCCCTCAGATCCAATAGCCAAAAGGATGCCGTGCCAAGGAGATGCCTGCAGGCAGGAGTCTGGAGAAGAAACTCCATCAGTATCTACGGATCAGCTAATGCACACCAGGTCCTGTGGACCAGGCACCGGAGGGCAAGGCTTACTTTTCAGATGGCTCACGTCAGCCCGCATCCTCTCCTCCTTCTCCTTGTTCCGCACCTTGGAGTTGAGCCCTTGTTCCAGGCTCCGCAAGGCCCCCTCTGCCTCCCGCAGACGCCTCTCCAGGTCCATGCGGACCTTCACCTCAGCCTGAGGGAGAAGAAGGGAGAGGGAAGTGGGTCCTGGGGAGCAGTTGCCATCTCCCCTGGAAGCCTTCCCCGATCACCCCCGGCTCAAGTGGGCTTTGTGGCCTCCGGACTTGGAGGGAAGTTACCACATCTCGCCTCGCGTCTTATGCCCTCGACCAGATGGCCTGGACTCGGCCCCTGCACCTGGCAGGTGTTGACATGATGCCCCCCCGAAGCGGCAGGCAGTGAGCTTCCCCTCGTGGAAGCTCCATCGCCTGCACCTGGCTGATCAGATTGGCAGAGAGAACTCAGGTAGCCGCCCGGTAAAGTGCAGGGGTGTGAGGGAAGTCTCCAGCTGTGGGGAGGTCCCTGAGTGCAAGCAGCCTCCAGGGGGCCGGGCCAGCACCTTGAGCTCCTGCTCGGCCTGCTGCTTCTGTGCCGTCAGCTCCTGCAGCGAGTTCTGCAGCGCCTGGGACTGGCTGGAGTAGAACTCCCGCTCCTCCTCCAGGGCCCGCGAGCGCTCCTCGTTCTCCTTCATCCTGCGAGGCGGGCGGAAGAGGCCCTCACTCAGTGCTCACTCGCCAAAGGGGGTTTCCAGTGGGAGGCAGCCCTTTGTAGAGACCTAGCTGGAAAATCCTGAGACCAGGCTTCGTGAGTCCTGAACTTCATGGGTCCTGGCATCCAGGTGATGAGAGGGGTGGGGTGGCCAGTGAGGGGAGCCCCAGGCTCAGAGTCAGAAGACTGGAGTCCTGGGCCCAGGTCTTGCTAGTTGTGTGACCTCAAGGAAAGCCCGATAACCACTCCAAAGCTCAGTTTCCTCCTCTGTAAAAAGGGGCTAAGAGGGCCTGCCCGCCTGCCACAAAGCATTGTTATACAGACCCAGTGACCATCTGTGTGGCTCACACCAATGCAAGAGAGAATTATCAAGTCAGCTTTGGTTAGAGAAGGTTCTCTTCCCATTTGCCTGGTGAGGAAACTGAGCCTCAGGCAAAAGGAAGTGAGTGACCTATGTGGTCAATGCCAACCAGAACCCAAGAGTCCAGCTCAAAGAAAGTCACCAAACCCCAAAGCCCATCATGGACGTGAGTCCCGAGCTCCCTCACCGCTTCTCCGCCAGGAGCTTCTCCTCCAAGAGCTGCTGCATCTTCTCCTCGATCTGCCTTAGGTTGCTATGGAGACCCCCGCTGGGAGGGGGCTGCTCACTCTGACTGGCCAGTGTCTGCAGTTGGTTCTCATTCTCCTCCAGCATTTCCAGGGTTTTCTTCTTTTCTATGGAGAGTTCCTGGCATGAAGCGGGGAAAGAAGGGAGAGAAGGAAGAGAAAGAGCCTAATTTAGGTTCTCCACCATGGCTGCCCTCACATGCCTTTCAATTCCAGAAAGGGATGCCCTCCTCTTTCAGTTCTCTATGAGGGACACCTGAAAGGTCTTCATTCTTCCCTTGAGGTAAAAGGCCAACCAAGATCTCCTTCCTCACAATGAGGCAAGGTTACTCCTCCATCAAGGGAGTCAGGGAGGGCCCGATGCAGCTTCCAGTGGAGGTGGCATCTACTACAACCAGAGCCTGAGGCCAACGGCATCATGACCTTCTGGGGTCCTTCCTCCTCCAGGAGCGAGTGAGGGAGTGTGTTAGGCTCATGTGAAAAACACCCAACAAGAACCAGCCCAAGAGCAGCTTTAGACATTGTTGGACTGGGATCTTGCACTACCCAGAAATTCTGGAGTTGAAACTATCCATGACAACCACCTCCCATGATGTGAAGTGGAGAAAGATCAACAAATAAAGGCACTGGAAACAAAGCCCCAGTCAGTCAAGGGAGAATAGAGACCCCTACAGTCTGCAAGGCAGCTCATGAATTCAGTCAACATTACAGATCTGCCAGGACCTGCTGGGCTCGCTCTAGGTGCCGGGCTTGAAGAGACCTTAAGACACAGTCTAGTGAAGTCCACAGTGTCAAAACCACAACCTTGTGTGTTAAGTGCTAAACAGATGTAGAAAGTGCTGTGGGAGCCCAGAGCTCAGAGAAAACTCCTAGAAGAGTCAGGGAAGCTTGACTAAGGTGATGTTTGAGCTGAGTCTTAAAAGGATGAAAGTTCTCCAGGCAGAGAGGTGGCAGGACATTCTGTGTAGAAGGAATAGTGTGGGCGAAGGTGTGGAGGATGAAAGAGCTTGGCTTCCTCGGGGCACGTGAGCTCAGGGGTTTGGAGTAGGGGTGGGGTGTCTTTGTGTGGGGGGCAGAGGGGCAGCAGAGGGAGAGTGGGCAGCAGGGGAGGAGAGGCTGGAGCCAGAGTTTGCCCTTGCATGCCATGCTAAGGAGTTTGCACTTTGTCCTTGATGCACGCCACCTCCTCCTCCCCCTCAGAATCTGTGGTATCAAATGGAGGCGACCCGGCGTTGATTTCCCCTCATGCTCAATTTCAACCACGAGCAGCTAAGTGAATGAGCCACAAGAAGGAGGTGGTAGGTGGCCCTGCCGCCCCCTAATCAATCCTCCATCTGGTATAAAAATATAAGCTCTGAAGAAGGTGGGTTTCCTGAGGCCACAGTCACAGCAAGGGCAAACTTGAATTTGCCCTTCTGGGTCCTGCTTCAGGCCTCAGGTGTTGGCTGGAGTTCCCAACGGTCCACAGAGAAGAGACCCTTTAGATCAGAGCCCCTTGGTGCCCCAGTTCCCTTTAGACAACCTTCTGGGGAAACCCTGATGGAAAAACAGCATCACGTGGCCCAACCCCCCAGCCTGCCTCCCAGTCAACCAGCCCTCCACAGCCCCTCACCTCCAGCGTCTGCTGCAGGGACTCTGTGAGGCGCCTCAGCTCCTTTTTCTCTTGCTCCACACCCTTGAGACATCTCGCAGTCAGTTCCAGCTCCCTGCGGGGACAGAGGGCTGGCTATGGCAGTGCCCACCCCTCCCAGTCCCCTTTGTACACAGAATAGCTTCTGCGTCACCTCCCGATCCAGCTCAGAGTGGTCCTTGGAAGGCCAGGCCCTCTGCTTGGCTGGGTCCTGATGGCAGCTGCAGGGGCCCGGGGCTGACAGGAGATCCCGGCCAAGTGGGTTTGAAGTCACTTGCTCCAGGGACACGTGAATCTGTCAGTTGGGATAAATCCAGGGCCACTCCCCAGGCAGAGAGAAGCACTGAGAAACAAAGGGGTCCTGGCCTCACCCCCTGTGTTCCTGGACAGCCCTGCTAGACCCACACTCATGACACGGGACACGGCTGAGGCCCTTCTCTGGGGTGATAAACTCCCTGGTGCTTTCTCAACAAGCCTGGGCCATCTCAGGCCTTTACACCCGGTTTCCCCTCCTCCTGTTTGGAATGCCTTTCCCTTCTCTTGCCAATCCTCCAACTCTGACCCATCCTTCAAGGCCCAGCTCAAGCTGACCTCTGCTCAAGCCCATAGGGATCACGCATGTATCTTAACTCCTCTAACGCAGGGAGTCTGCACCACGCCTCCTAGCACCTGTTTATATATTACTGTGTTGACGTTCCCTGGGTGTGAATCTGGTTTTCCCAACCAGATCCTCAAGGAGATGACTTATCTTCTATTCCAGCATCTGGCACAGTTCTGGAAGTGAGCAGGAGCTTGGCTATTTACTTGGTAAGATCCTCTGAGTTCTCCTTCCCCCAAATACATGTCTAATGACTTCCTTTTATAAGATTGTTGCAAGAAAAATCTTTCTGGGCTATCACTGATGATCAATAGTGATGATGATGACAACGATGACGATGACAACCACCACCACCAACAGTACCCAGATCAGCAGTCCCCAAATTCCTGGATATGCTGTATCAGAATGTCCTGGGGAGCTTTTGTAAAATATAGATTTCTGGGCTCTACTTTCAGCAGATTCTAATTCTGTTGGATGATTATAATGTGCAACTGGGTTTGCAAACCATACGTGGGACTAAAGATCTCAAGGGACATCATTAGCCAGAGTGTGAAGGGACTGTGCAGGAAAGACAGGGAATGTTGGGGGTCTTGCTCGGTCTTGCAAGGTCCGCTTGGTCCTGTCTGCCTGGGGAAGTAAGGTTTGACGGAGGCAGGAGGGGCTCGTTGTTTGGGGGAATGCCTGTCCACACCTGCCCATGCCTCGTGCTCCAGTGGGCAGAAGTGGCCCATTTGTGTGGGGTCTACAGCTTTTTCTGGGCACATCCCAAGGCCTGGAGCCAAACCATAGACCCAAACCCAGTCATCAAGCAGTGAGCATCTGCTAGGCAGAGGCCTCTCCAGACCTGACCAGGACCGTGGGTTCTATGTGCCCTAACCAGGTACACCTTCCTCCCCTCCCAGGGCACCACCCCCACCTCTTGATCTGCTCCTGCTCCACTCTCAGCTCCTGCACCACCTCCTCGAACTGCTGCTTCTCGGCCTCCAGCACCTGGTTAAGGCGCTCGAGCTCCTGAGGAGAATCAGAGAGGAAGAGAAGAGTCACGGCAGCAAAGGGCCCTGAGGTCAGGAACTTCACTCTAACCCAGGGGACCCTCTGGGATTCAGTCTGGGGCACACACTGGACCAGACTTGGAATTAAGTCCTGAGGAGCCCTGGCCCCACTCAGTGACACACAGTCTCAACAAAACCGAAATCTGTGATGAGCTGGGCTCATTTAAAACACATTTAGCATGCTGCAGGCAGGGTGTAGAAATGATCCCATCATTTCCTGCGACTGGACATGATGATAATTCTGAATGTCTACTCCGCTGGGCAACTCCAGTCGCTCACATCCTAAGGCGTGTTGGCTGGCCCTCAAGCCCTGGAGGAAAAAGCGGGGAGTATGTATTTCCATTAAATATCCCTGGAGTGACATCTGTTAGAACTGGCAAAGAAAAGCCATTTCTAATCCAAAAGTCGGAGAATAAGGACTCTATTTTCTCAAGGCATGTGGGAAGCAAAGGAGCACAGGTGGCTGCAGCTTCTCCTATACTCAGCCCCAAGGGAATAGGAGATCCAGAAAACTCAGGACAGGCGGGCCCAGGGGGCCCAACCAGTCCCTTCAGGAACGCCGGCAGGCACAGTGTTTCCCAGCGAGTATCTGGCCTCCGGGGATCCGTTTTCCTGGGCTTCAGTGGCTGGTGGTGTTGGGGGTACTCTTCAAGTGAAGCTTAGCTAGAAGCATTTTTGTGACAACTGCTTTGTTCCTCCACATTTTATACTGGGGAGGATATTATTTCTAGATCCACTTTCTTTCTCATCTTCTAGCTCCAAATTACACTCTCATTTTTCACCCAGGGGCTTTGTTCTCAAGGATAACAGAAACCCTGCCAGCGAGTGGGGCTGCCTGTAGGGAGAAGTTGCCATTGGCTTTGAGGAGATACAGAGAAGGGATGAAAGGGAAGAGTCTGAAGGAAATGGGAGAGTCTGGTTCTAAACACCTTGCTCTCCATCCCTAAACTTCTTACCCAAAAAGTTGCTATTTCTTTCCTTCTAATCATTATCGGCACTTGTGGCGTGGCTCACTAATGGTCACCACTAGGGCTGCTCGCTGGCATTCTGACGCACCTCCTGGCACACTGCATGGCCACAGTGTACCTGCAAAAGTTGGGTGGGCCCATGGGACTTGGTAAGGCCAATGGATTGTAAGCAGAAATGTGTCACTTCCAGGCAGACACCTTTAAGAGAGAGGGCATGACATGCTATGTTCCCTTTCCACTGCCATGGCAGCCAGTGTTGTTGCAAACGGTGGAGGCTCCATTAGCCTGGATCCCTGAGAAAGGAGACGTGGAGCAGAGCCCCTAGCTGACCCATGCAGCTGAGTGACAGACAGATCTTTGCTGTTCAAAGCCATGAATATTTTGGGGTTGTGTGTTATTGTGGTAGATACAGCCATATATAGACATAATATAAATATAATTAAAATTTTATTCTTGTAGACCTCCCCCTTCTTAATGAAAGAATAGTTCAGAGCTTCAAAAAGTTTGAAAACCTCTACTTTAATACATTCTCACATGGTATCGCTAATGATGATAAACCTCTCTGTAGCCTCAGATTCCAAAAACCTAACTTATTTCCTCTCTCTGGTGGCCTCTGCCTGCTGTGGCAGGGCTTTTCATGGGACTGGGGAAGTTATGGGCTGCAAGCATCCCTGGGCTTAGACTTGAAAAATCACAAGGGCACCTGACTCTTATAGGCACCTGGCTTCTGCTGCTCCGGAACAGATCACGCAGGACCCAGCTGAGGACACCATCCCACAACCTTGGCTTCTCCTCCCTGGAGAGAGCCCCTTTCTCCAACACTCCAACTTGTGAATATTTCCCTTTACTTACTATTCCACTGGGATATCTTTTTGTAATTGAAATGGGAGAAAGTAAATGTAAAAATGTAAAAAGTAAACCCATGGAAATGTCCATACACTGCTGATGGGAATGTAAATAGGTACAAATTTTCCGGAAAGCAATTTGGCAATATGCATCAGGAGTCTTAAAAGTTCTCACCCTTTGAGTCAGTAATTTCATCTATAGGAATCTATCCTACAGAAATAATTGGAAAAGTAGCCCAAGATTTGTGTACAAGGACGTTCACTGTGGCATAATTTATGATAATGAAAACAGCCTAGATGTCCAAAAATAGAAGATCAGTTAAATGAAACATCACATATGATGAATCAGTACACGGTCATTAAAACTGATGTTTTCAAAGTGCATTGAATAACATGGAAAATTGCTGAAGGTACAGTGTTAATGATGGTCTAATAAAAAAGCAGACCATAAAACTGGTATCTGATATAATCCTGTTAGGTTTAAAATATATGTAAGAATAATAGACTTTTTAAAAAGACTGAAAAGAAAAACAATGAAAAGTTGACAATAGTTGTCTGTCAACTGTGGAATTAAGGACAAAGTTTGTTTTCTAGGTTTTCTACAAAGAGCGTGATTTCTTCTATTAGTAAGAAGGTTATATATTAGAGGAATAAGAAAGAGAATCTCCTGCCTGGTTGCTCACTTCTTTCCCTCCTTTCATTTCCCCTGTATGACTCTCATATAAAGCTGATGTCCAGCTGCAGCCAGTACGGACTAGAGTGGAACCCACAACTTCTAAACCTGGAACAGCCAGAACCTTCTGTTCCTGCAGCCCAGGATGGTACGACAGTTTGTAGAAAGCCTGCCACAGACTGCGGTCAGCCAAGACCTCCTGCAGCTAAGCCTTCCTCCGCCATATGGTGCTTATTCTTCTGACTCTTGGACCTGACTTAAGTTGCAAGAGTATAAGGTTGGAGAGAAGTCACTAGAAGGCAAATTCCAGCTCAATGAAAGGAAGAGCTTTCAAATAATGGAGCAATAAGGCAAAGGACACCTCCAGAGGGAGTGAGTTGCCCGTCGCAAAATCAGGATCAACATCCATCAGGGAGGTCGGCAAAGAGCCTCACCTTGAAGTGGGAGCTTCTTTCCAACTCCAAGAGTCTGTGTTCTGAGCGGGAGCACCCCAGGCGGCAGGCGCCCTGCCTGACTGGCCCTGGGCAGTTCTGATTTCCCATATGCCTGGCCACATGCAAGGCTAAGCTGTCACAATTCATCCAGAAAAGGAAAGGTAGGTAGACTGCACTCCTCCAGAGGATGAGAGAGCTGAGGCCACAGGAGCCAGGCACATCTGAGGTACCTGCATCCAAGGAAAGACAGGGTCTGCTGGCCTCGGGCAGATGAGCCCAGGATGGCTGCCCTGCACTCTGCTCGTGCCCCTAGAGTCCCAGGCTCTTTCTGCCACATGGAAGATGTCAGGGATGCACCATCACAGTGCGCACATCTGCATGGGCCTGGCCCCTCCACAAAGCACTCCCCTGCATCCTATTTCACTGAGCCTCTTAGAGACCAGAGAATCTTCATCTTATGGCTGGGCCATTGTACCAAACGCCTTTGCAAGTGGCCCAAGGCACGCCCAGACAATATCTCTGTGACCCGGAGTGGAGACAGGAAAGCTGCAGGGGACACGCAGACCCATGATGTGGATAAGCAAGTTAAGGAAGGAGAAACCTTGACAGAATGACTCAGTGAGCTCTATTCCTGATCTAGAGCAAGCAGCTGACCTGGGAGTGTGAATCCAGGCACCGTCCTCTCCTCCCTGCCTGCCCAGAGCAGCCTTCACCATGGGTACCAGCTGGGCCCGAGTGAGTCTCTCTCATATCTTGTACTAAAAAACCGGGGAGTTCACAGCTGACAGGTCTCCCTCCTTCAACATGCTACAGCTTTAAGCGAGGTCTCCTCTGTCCTCATTTCCTGGCTAAAGACCTAGATAGAGTGTCTAAATTTTCCTCCGGCTGACTGCTGCCCCAGATTTAGCCTCTCTGATGGATAAGTCTGCCTCTCTCCCTGCCCGTGGCTGTGTCTGTCACTCCATGCCATCCCTTGGCTTCCTGAATTATCTGTCTTTAAGTTGCTGACGACCCACCAGAAGTCTCACTTCTCAAAATGTACAACACTGTATGAAGAAAATGCCAAAGCTTTAATGCGGGACCTAGACTGAAAGCCTGGAGACACGGAGGCCCATACGCTGCCGGGTGGAAGAAGGCTCGGAGCTGTCATGCTGCGAATCCTCGAATCCACGCAATCCTCACACAAATCCTCGATAGGTTTAGGGTTCTGTTTTTTGATGTTTTGGTTTGGGTTTGTTGTTGTTGTTAATTGACAAAATGATTCAGAAGTCCAGCTGGAAGAATAGACGGGCAAGAATATCTGATAATATTTGGAAGAAGAAAAATGAGGGTGGATTGTCCTACTGGATTCACAGCAAGATCTGATGTAAAATTACAAAAATCAACAATGTTCGATTATTGAGTCCTTGCACAGACATTTACCAGCACTCCTCCTGGGCCAGGGGCTGTGCCAGGCCCTGGGAATGGGTGGGGTACTACGGGCCATGATGCTTCTCGACTGTACGGCCTGTTTCAGAGCCCAGTGAGGGGTGGATGGGAAGGGTGAGGAGGCAGCAAGAATCAAGTTGGAGAAGCAGCACTGAGCCAAGGCTGATGGGCCCACCCTATGCCTTGCCTGGGAGAGGACGAGGAAAAGCAACTGGACAAGAGAAGTGACCCCCTTCTGAGGGCTCCTCTGGGCCACTCTGCAGCTTCGGGCCTCAGGCAGTTCACATGCAGGATGGGCCCATAATTGATAACATGATGGTAATACTAACAAACACAGATATTCATTAATCACGTATTGTATGCCAAACACTCTATATATAAAATCTCATTTAATTCTCACAATATCCCCAAGAAGATGGGTTCTATTATTATCCCCATTGTTCATGTGAGAATATTGATGTTCAGAGAGGTTAGGTAACTTGCCCAAGGTCACACAGCTAGAAGTGGTGATGGTCCAATATGAACAGGCAGCCTGGCTCCAGAGTCCACACCACTAACCACTACCCTACCTTGCCCTTCAGGGGAGGTAATGACTCCTCAGAACTGGCAAGGCCCAGTGCTGCATGGAGATTCCAAGTAAAGTGGACTGCAGCAGCTCCCCACCCTCAAATGAGGCAAGGGTCTCCCTGAGCCCACAGGCTGCCTCAGGCAAATGCTCGGCCCCCTTGGGACTTGTATTATGGACATCTAGAGAATGAAGGAAACTCTGAGATCATCCAATCCCATCACCTTTATGGGGCCAGAAGCACCTCTGTGGGTAACAAAGGCCATCACAGCCTCCCGTGAATGTCACCAGGGGCAAGCAGCTCATGACCTACGGACACAGCTTATAAAATTTTTTTGTGTGTGTGTGAGATCAGCCCTGTGCTAACATCTGCCAATTCTCCTCTTTTTTTTTTTTGCTGAGGAAGACTGGCCCTGGGCTAACATCCGTGCCCATCTTCCTCCACTTTATATGGGATGCCGCCACAGCATGGCTTGCCAAGCAGTGCGTTGGTGTGCACCCGGGATGTGAGCCGAGGAACCCCGGGCCGCCGCAGCGGAGTGCATGCACTTAACCACTTGCGCCACTGGGCCGGCCCCCAGCGTATAAAATTTTTGATGGCTCTTTCTCCAGAAGGTGGTCACCTACCCTTCTTACTTTCGTCCCTGGGGATTGGGGAGGAGAACTACACTTCTTGCCAAGAAGCTACAGCAAGTCCCAAGCACTGCCATCTCATTGGCCTCCCTGCTCGGCCTGTCTGCTTTTCCAGCAAGTTCTCTAGGTGCCCAGCTTTCCAACATCATTCCCTAATTCCCTAATTCCAGAAACACAAGCGAGTCCATCTGGGCACTGAGGGGCCCACAGCGCGGGAGGTGGGGCAGGGTGCAGCGATTCTGAGCGGCCCCGGTGGCACCTACCTCTCTCTGCTCCCTCTGAAGGCAGAGTTCTTCGGTCTCTTCCATCAGTTTGTCTGCCAAAGCGAGCACACACACTCTCACAAGAAGCTCCCTCCAGATCCGGTCCTGAGGGGCCAGTGCTGTGGTAACGCTGTCACCCTCAGCATCTCCTAAGAGGTCAGCACTGCCCTGCCCAGGCCAGCCAGAGGGAGGGGCCGGCTCCTGAGGATGGCAGGAGCCACTCTCCTTTCCCAGCCCTGTCCCTGCTTTGCACATTCACAAGGCAAAGACGGCCTCGTTCTTGGAAGCTCAAGTGTGTCTCTGCATCCCAGGGGTGCTGTTAACCTCTGTGCTAGTCTGGCTACTTGGGGAGGGTAGATGTCTGGAGCAGGCAGAGGGGAACCAGGGCTGGGGCCCCAAGAGTCTAAGGAGGCGGCAGGGGAGAGGGTCCTGGGCAAAAGACCAAACTCACTTTCTTTCCCAAACAGCCTGTTTACCAGCCAGTCACGGGCACAGGGGCCTGGGACCTTGTGGTCAGGTTTAAAGTGGGCGGGGGGGGGTGGTGGGGGAAAGTCCAGGATCTGGGGCCCAGGGCAGGACAATAAGATCAACACGATTTATGGAGCCCTTACTGCACGCCTGACACCAGCGCATACAGGCATTGTCTCATTTACCCCAATCCCCCATCACCTCTGAAAGCTAAGGACTAGTTTTGTCTCCATTTTAAGGATGAGGAAATTGAGGCTTAGAGAGACTGTACTGCCTAAAGACACACACAGTCGACAGGTAGGCGACCAAGCTGGGTCCGGAGCCCAGGCTCCTAACCACTAGGCTTTCCCACCTTGTGTCATGCTGGCCCAAAGGACATTTATTACGCCATAAAGCCCTCCAGGGTCCAAGCTGGTGTCCAGCTCTCACAGCCTGCTGAGCCCCTCCAAGACACCCCCTCAGTCCTCCAAGAAGCCCCTGGCCCTGAGGGGCTGCCATCAGCGAATCTCAGCCCCCAGCCCACGCCTCCAGCCAACCTAAGTACTCCTGCTTCTCCTTGGCCAACTGCAGCCCCTGGGCCTCCAGGCTTTTGATCATGGCTTCTCCCAGCTGGGCGTTCTTCCAAGTCCTGGGGAGGGAGGGCAGATGGGACAGAGGAGAGAAGAGGAAGACACATAAAATCGTTAAAACAGAAGGGCAGAGGAGAAAGACAGTGCATGTTTTGTACTCGCCCATCCTTTTTCCTCCGGAATCCCAGCTTGCATTCGCTCTGGCACCCATGGCTCTGGGCACGCCACCAGCATCGATCAGTTACAGTCCCTGGAGGCCGGCCAAGGCTGCAAAGTGGGCCACCGTGGGCTGGGCCAACGGCGCTTTTGGAGCAGGGAAGAGATTGCAGCCTGGGCTGCTTCCTACACCACTGCATGCCCACCACCTGGAGCAAGGCCTGGCACGGACATGCACTCAGTGTTATTTGTTGAACTAAAAGCGTGACCCAGCTTGAATAGGCAGGTGCTGGGACAGGGGTTTACGTGCAGATAGACTGTGTTGGGCTGGAGGTTTCTGTGATCTGGACTCTGATTTACGAAGTACTACTCTGGTCTGTGCTAGGATTAATTAAGGGCCTGGGGAGGTGAGATGGGTGTCATCAGGCAGCCAAATCCTACTAGTGATGCTGGATTCGATCCCAAGAGTTGGAGACAAATGGTGTCGACGTCTGCCACCTGTGACTCTAGGCGAGCAAAGCTCGCTTAGGAGACCCTCACAGATGCTCTAAACCTGGCCTATCTCCTCTCGCCCCTCGTCCATAGCCCTGTCCTCAAGGAGACCCAGACATTTTCCTTCCCACTCTGCCTGCTCCTGGGGTCCTCAGTGCCCACCGGGATCCCAGCAGAGGCAGGGAGACCAGGGTCAGCCCAGCCCATACCCTTCTCCCCTTCTGGACCCTCAGGCTGCCCCCTCCTGCCTGTGGGCACTTACACCTTCCCAGACTCCTGCAGCATCTCCAGCCACTGGGTCTGCTCAAACTCTGACTCGGCAGCCAGCAAGATGTTTCCCTGCCAGGAAGAGGAACCATGGGTGTACCTGAGAGGAGGCTACTTCGAAGATGATGGAGGCTGCCCCCAGGCCTCAGTAGGCCCAGCTCTGCTCTCCCATCCCACATCCCTATGGCACTGACACCTTTCCCAGGCCAGGCCACTGGAGGGGTTTCCCCCAGGGACCTGGGGGTCCCAGAGAAGCTGGTCTGCCCCAGCTGAGCCCAGGCTGAGGGGAGAGCCTTACTCACGTGGAAGTCCTGGTGGGAAATTTTCATGGCGTAGGGCATGCTGGGCTCTTCCTTGGCCTCCACCAGGCAGCCCCCCAGAGGGATGACACCCTGAGAAGGAATTGGAACAGGCAGCCCCCACCCCACCCAGCCCCAGTCACTGAAGTCCTCTGGGAGCCCTCAGCCAAAGCCAGGTCCTTCCAAGGGCCCCAGGCCAGAAGCCAGACCAGAATTGACTCCCAGAGGGGAGAGGCAGGGCCAGGGCAGGATCTGTGGCCCAGGAGGGTGGGGGGCCCAGCCCAGGAGGGGCAGGGGGTCTTGTGCTCCAAGAAGGATTTGTTCTCCAGATTCCCTGCTAGACCGGAGCAAGAAGAGATGGTCCCCTACCCTCACAGGATACCATCCCCCTCGTCCCCTCCAGGCCCTCCCCCACTGTGGCCCTGGGAGAGGCTGCCTCACCTTAGGATGTATATTGAAGTATTTATTGGTTTCAAAACTCTTTTTTTCGCTCTCAGAGTAGTAAAGAAGAAAGCTCTCTTTGATGATGAAAAACCTACAGGAGGTGGGGGAAGGAGGGCAATCAGGAGAGAAGGGTGAGCTTTCTTGGGACAACAAGAGCACCCTTGGGGGCCCTGCACTCACCTGGGGAGCCAATGGGGACGCCAGCTCAGACTCATCCTCACCAACTCACCTGCCACATCCGGGCAAGGCCTCAGCTGGCCAGCTGCCCACCACCAGGCTGCCCAACCCTTGCACAAGTGGCCAGCTGACGTGGAAGGCCCACAAGTGGCTTCCAGGTCTGGCTGCCTCCAGCCCCCCAAACCACCACCCTTGGCACAGGAGGGCATCTGTGGTCCTTCCTCACAGGGATCTTCAACCCCTGGAGCCATTATCTCCAGTCCCTTAGAGTCTACCCCAGGAGGGGTGGAAGTGGAGAAAGAAGACACCAGATTCCAAGATGGGTCTTTTGACAAGTAACCATGAAGGTTAGTAACTGAATGAAATTTGGGCACCAGGCTGGCAAGGCCAGCCCTGCAGTCTGCATGTGACGCCTGCATTCCCTTTGGTCTCAGGCTCCACAGCCTCCTTCGGGGACTCAGGTCTAACAGGATTTCCGGGACCTTGGTACATCCTGTTAGGGAGATGACAGCCTTGACGCCAACATGTGGAACACTTAGACCCACCCTGGGGACCCTCACAGGACTAATGATTGGAGCTGACTAGGCTAAGACAGCGGGTGTCCGCTGGGGGAAGATCCAATTGGGCTTCAAAGCCCCCGGGCTCAGGGACACCCAGAGTGGCTGGCTCCCTCCTCCCAGGCCTCCGGCTAACGCCGCTGTTGTAGTGATGGGACTGAGGAAACAGTGGTGTGCTGGAGCTGACTCAGACGGGCTCACGAGAGCAACGGTGTGACTCTCCCCTGCTCTGCGTTCAGTGACCTGCGTTGGTAGGTAGATCAGTCATAGTGGGAGTACTTACACCATGAAAAGCATCAAATGCTACAAAACAGTGCTCCCCTCCGCACCAAGAGAGCCAGTTGTTAAACATTTACCAGCACACCACTGGGTGGACGCGCCCTCTTGTGAGGGGCTTGAAAAGTTGCTGCTGGGCACCACGACGTCAGTGAATCTCTGAAGGTTCCACCAGCCACATGACCTTTCCTGAGGCCACAGCTGCTGTGGGGAGGGTCCATAGCTGCCACCTTTCCCCCAGGAAAGTGAAGCTCAGCTTTGTGTTCGGTGTGAGCCTCACGCCAACCCATGCTCTTTATCCGCACCGACCCTCTCGGCCCAGCCGGATACCGAATGGAACTGTGGACCTCAGAGGCGACCTCCTACTAAGGCCAACTCTTCCCGCAGGCCTTCCTGCCCCCCGTGGAGAAAGAGCATGCGAATACCACCTTCTGCAGAACTGTGGGCACCTCTGGGCCTCCGGCGCTGAGCTCTGTCCACCTCCTCGGCTTTCCCGCCACTTCTCCCCTCCAGCCTCCCTCTCCAGGTGAACACCGTGCTCACTGCCTCCCCCTCACCACGTTTGCATGATCCTGCAAGGGAGACCGTGCAGTTCTCCCCGGAATGCCCTCCTCTCGCTCCTCATCTGGCTGGACCCTTCTCCCACTTGGTGACCAGCCCAGCGCACACCGCCCTCTGAGCCCCTCCTGCATTGTTGACTGAGCCATGCACTCGCCACCTCGTGCCACTGCCACACCCCATCTTCTCATCTTGTCCCAAGGGGATGCTCGGCTCCTGGAGGACGGGGCCATGCCCTCTCATCTTGTGGGCCGAGGGAGATGCCCCCTGCCTGTTTCAAGGGACCTTCACAGAGTAGCTAAGAGCACAGGCTTTGGCATCAGACAGGCCCACCATGTCTCAGCTCAGGGGCCTTGGGCAAGTAGGCTCACCTTTCTGAACCTCGGTCTATTTGTCTGTAGAATGGGGGTGATAACACTGACCTCTACGGGTCACTGTGAGGCTCAAATGGGACTGTGCTTATCCCTCCACCAATTCAGAGCACCCAGGACAGGACTGAGTGGCACAGTCCCATGGTCTGAGTACCCATCACCCCTAGGAAGTGAGACAGGCTTCCCCCAGGGCTTCCTCCTCCCCTTCCAATGGCTTCTGAGATACTGCTGTGGACTGAATGTGTCCCCCAAATTCATGTGTTGAAGTCTTAACCCCCGATGTGACTGTCTGGAAATAGAATCTTTAGGAGGTAATTAAAGTTAAATGAGGTCCAGAGAATGGGGCCCTAATCCGATAGGACTATGGCCCTGTAAGAAGAGGAAGCTTTCTCTCTTTCCCTCTGCCACGTGAGAACACAGGGAGGAGGCAGCCGTCTGCAAACCAGGAAGAGAGCCCTCACCAGAACCTGACCATGCCGGCACCGTGATCTCAACTTCCAGCCTCCAGAACAGTGAGACATAAATTTCCGTTGTTTAAGTCACCCAGTCTGTGGTACTTTGTTATGGGAGCCTGAGCTGACTAATACAAATCCCTCTTGCCTTCCTGATGCTTCTGGAGCCCCCTCCCCATTCAGAGCAAAGCACCCAGCCAGGGCCTGGAGTGGGAGGAGTCGACCATTAGACACACAGGCAGGGAAGGATGGGGGCTCTGGGGTCAAACAATCCCGCCCCTCAAGCCACAGCCTCAAGCAATCTCGCAGCCTTGCTGAGCTTCCCTTGCCAAGCTCCTTTATAAAATGTGGGTGCAAATATCTGTCTCCTGGGGGTGCTGTGAAGGTTCATTCACTGATTCAACAAATAACTGCTGCCCTCCTGCTCTGTGCCAGACAACATCCCAGGTGCTGAGGACAGAGTGTGGACAAGAGACACACAAACACCTGTCCTCATAGAGCGAACACGCAAGTGAGTGTGTGTGTAATGGAGAGGCAGACAGTAAATAAATGCCATTTACCAGATGCTGATAAATGCCATGGAGGGTAAGCGATGGGTGAGGGGTGGGTGGGGAGGTTTCGATATTAAACAGGGTGGCCAGGGACAGCCTGATTAAGAAGGTGACAATCTGAGGAGAGGGAAGATGTTCCAGGCAGAGGAACCACAGGTGCAAAGGCCCTGGGGTGGGAAGTATGCCTGGCTCTGTGCGGCTGCAGCAGCGGGGCCAGATTGTGTAAGGCACTGTAATGACAATAATGATAATGTTTATATCAATAAAGCTAATGTTTATTTAGCACTTACCCTAAGCCATGCCTATTCCAAGCGGTTACCTCTGTTAACGCATTTAACACTCACAATTATCCTATGGGGCAGGTGGTGTCTGCATTTCATATGGGCAGAAATGAAGCAGAAAGGTGAATGACTTGCTGAAGGTCACACTGCTCATTGATAGAGGCCGGTTTTTCCTCTGAGTAAGGGAGACAGCCACAGAGGGTTTTGAGCAGGAGTGACCTGATCTGACTCACATCGCAAAAGACTCAGCCTGGCCGCTGTGCTGAGAACAGACTTTCGGGGGGACAAGGGCGGGGGATCCTTTAGCGGCTGTCACCACAATAGGGGACAAGAGATCTGGTGAGTGAAGGCATGTCAAGTCCTCAGCACTTGTCTGGCACACAGGATGTGTCCCCCAGACATCACGCCCTTCCTCCTCTTGCCCTCTGAAGGAAGGCACAGAGAGACGCAGGGGAAGACGGACGTCCAGGGCAGCCTTTGCTCCAGGCTGGCCAGGCTTCAGCAGGCCTGGGGGCCCCGTGGGCTGCAGGGATTGTGAAGGTCCCACACACCATGCATGCGAAGCCTGGCCCAGCTCCAGCTGTTCTCAGCTTGGTCTGGGTGGGGGTGGGGGCCAGGGAGGGGAGCTGCAAGACCTGGAGGAGGAGAGCGACTCCTTGGCTGGCAGGGAAGAGCATCACCAACAAAGGGCACACTTGGCAAGCACACTTCTAGGACCCAAAGGGCCAGCGTTGCGTATGGATCTGTCTCGGGGACCTTCCACTGCTACAGCTGATGTCAGCTTCTTCTCAGCACGTGGGGGCCCAGGACCTGAGTGTCCCTGTGCAGAAGGTCGTTTCCTCTTCCTGCCCCTTCCTCCAAAGTCCCTGAGCTCCCAGACGCTCTCATTCTGACTGCAGGCCAGGGGGCACCTCCTTCTGGGCCCTGCGGAGTTGGGCTGGCTGTGCAAAGGCTGGAGAGTCACCGTTTCCTTAGCTGTTCTCGGGGGGTCGGCCCCGTGCTAAGTGCTTGACACGGATCAGAGTACTTGATCCATGTAACTATCCTGGAAGGTGGAGCTGTCTATTCCCATTTTACAGATGGGGAAACTGAGGCTTAGAGGTCAAGTAATGTGTGCAAGGTCACACAGCTAGGGCAGAGATGCAGCTGGGACTGGAACCCACGGACGACAGTCCCTGCTCCTCCTCCCCACCCAACGCTGCCTCAGGAGCTGCTTCTCCCTCATGCCAGCATCTGGGCAGGAAGCAGATGGGCCAGAGGCGGGAGGTGTCAAGGCTGGGGTAGCCGAGAGTCAAGCTCGGCCACTTAGCAGCAGCATGACCAGGGCAAGTCACCTGGCCTCCCCAGGCTAACGTGAGGATAACAGTATCTACACCTTTCAGGGTCGTCGGGATAATTAGATGAGTTTCCTCACACAAAGACTTAGAACAGTGTGGGACACATGGTAAACACTCAGTAAATGTTTGCTTATATTACTACTATTATTGTGTATTATTATTAGGTGCAGTGTCTGCCGCAGCCTCCCCAGACCTCCTTTCCCACTGGCACCCACACGGCTCCTACTGGCAGGAGCTCTTGGCTCCAGCCCACGTGGCCCGCTCCCTGAGCAAACACACGGCGCTTGCCTGCATCTGCCCCGCCCTCCTGTCCAAAGCCCGCCTCCTGTCCGGGGCCAACCTCAGCCCTGGGCGAAGCTGTGTCCCCTCCAGCCCTAGCCCTCAGGACCCTCCTGTCCGCCCCACTGGGCTGTGAAGCCAGAGTGTACGTGTGAGGTCAGGGGTCTGAGTCAACTTGGCGGCCTCCTCTCTCTGGTCTTAAAGAACGGTCTTTTCACCTCCAGATTAAGGAGCATTTACGAGGCGCCAAGA